CAGGATGGGCGTCTAAAGACTCGGGCCCAGCTCATGCTCCCATCAGGACAGTGGTCACCCACTCAGTGAGGAGAGAGTCCCCAGGGGCTGCCTGGGTGCCAGAGGAGTTCCATGTACTGATCCAGGGGGTGGTTACATGGGTGTGCACATATAACAAAATGCATCGAGTTGTCCACTAAACAACAAAATCAATAACAGAAGAGAAATGATTCCAGGCCAGGGAGAGCAGCGCCAGAGGCAGAGAGCAAAGCGGGGCAGAGAGGGCCGTGAGAAGGCCATGAGGGCCACGAGGAGAGAGCCACACGGATAAAGGGCAGGCCTGAGACAGACAGCAGCCCTGGAGAGACAGAAAGAGTCATGGAGAGAGCAGGGGAGGAGGGCCAGGCAGGACAGACTGCGACACCGGTCCTGGGCATGGGCGGGAGGAAATGACAGCCTGCCTGAGATACCAGTTGACCTTGAGATCCCTGAAACCATCCTCCATCCTTTTACAGACTGAGTTCTAGGGACATCGGCACATCCGGGGCTGAGCTGAGACACATGAGCATTTGCCAAGCTGCAGGGCTAATGCCGGTGGCCACACAGAGTGACCGCAGCGGGGATGGGCTCTCTGCTGCTCATCCTCTTGCAGAAGCTCAGAGCTGGAGAGGAAGGACCTCTCTCCTCGTGGAATTCTCCGCCTTCCGCTGCTCATCTAACATTTAGAGTTTGCAGACGGCTGGGATGTGACACGCGCCACTTACGGCGGGGCCGACAGTGATGTACAGTGTTAATATTAAGCTCTAAGTGGCTTCTGTATGTTATCCAAAAATGAGGAATAAAAATGAGGAAATTCATTTCTTCCTTTAAAAAAATGGGTGGTTTGTAAAAATGATGATTTCGAGCTCAAAGTGAGAGGATGGATCTGACACCAGCGGCTCGAGCAGCCTTCTCACGTGGGGTGAGCACGAGTGTTTGTCTTCATTCATCTCAGCTGAGTCGGGAAATCTCCGGGGGCCCTGGGTGGCCTCCTCCGCCCTCCTACCTCACCCACCTGAGCAGAGCCGGACTTGGGGCTCCCGCCGGGCCCCCTCAGTTTTCCTTTTCTCCACTGGCTAAGAGGGAGGGCCACGGAGCAGGGGGCCTGGATTAGAATCCTCTCTCCACTACTTACTAGCTGTGGGACCATATACCTCAACTTGCCCATCTGTAAAATGGCATAATAGTATCTACCTCTTAATGCTCTTATGAGGATTAAGTGGCTTAATATATATAAAGTACCTGGTCCTACACGTGCCTGGGACATTATAAATACTGAATAAATGTCGTGGTTATGATTTTTTAATCATGCTGATTTTCCAGACTAATATATGGGTGTAGATAAACATGGATAAATAAATCAGCAAGCACACACATAGAAAGAGGGGAACGCAATGAAATATTAACACGGAGGGAAGCTACGGGAAGGTATGATACAGGTGTTCTTTGCACTGTACTTACAACTTTGCAGTACATATAAAATATTTCAAAATGAATTATTTTTTAATGCAGGGGAAAAATAAAGAGTAGCCTAACCCTCTTTTTCCCCCGAGGCTGTCTCAGCTCCTCAAGAATCAGGCTCTGACGTCCCCCCGTTGTTTTCCCGGGAACAGCGACAGGCACCCGGGGAGTCCTCGGCATTGACTGCCGGTGGGCAGGCCACGGCGCGTTTGCTGACCGCCTGGGGTTGAGGATGGGATGCCATTCACTGCAATGGTCTAGGTAGAATCTTGTCCATTTGGGTCTGATTAGATGTGTCATTCAGGAATCAGTGACATTTAAGTGTGGTGTTGTCAGTTTTGATCCACCGGAGTATTATTTTTGGTTTTTCAGTTAACAAAAAAATACACATTGGGAGCTCTAACAGCCCCTTCTTATTGAAATTCCTGCAGAAACGATTCTGTTACACAAGTCTGCAATTCTCCAGCTTCTCATCTCTTTTGTTCCTTTGAAATAATTGTTTATGCAACACAGTTTTTTTAATGTTTCTTTTCTAAAGAGTCTAGTGCTAGGCTGGAACATTCTGGAACGCAGATGCAGAGTTGGAAGGGGACTCAAAGGTTGTCTAGTGCACAGCATCCAACCCAGACCGTAGACTGATATTATGCTGTGGACCCAAGGGTGCAGCTGAGGAGTGATGGAGCGGGAAGGGTCTCGGCCACAACTCCTCTCTCCTCGGAAGGAATGAGCCTGAGCCAGCCACGGTTTGCCTTGCTCAGCTACAACCCGGGTCAGAGGGCTCTGATCCTCTCAAACCCCCCAGCCTCTGCAGGATGCTACCAACACAGCCACAGTGGGGTCCAGCCTCGGCATAAAACCTCCAGTGACAGGGATCTCGGCGGCTCCCCAAAAGCCCCTGCCGAAGCTCCCAATCTAACCCCCACCTGATGTCCCGGGGTTTGCTCCTGCTCTGCCCTCCTCACCCCACACCTCACCCTGTCTCCCACTTTTCTGCACACCCGCCGGCAGGGCTGGCTCAGGAGGCCCATTTCTGAGACAGCTCCATGGACTGGGAGAGGTCCCAGCGGCCCCCGGAGGGGTGCTGTGGCTGTCGCTTGCCTGAAGTATCTTTGACGGCTCTGTGCTCTGCGTTATAAATAAATTATTTTGGATGCTTATCTGCCTGCCTTGCTCAGCTTTTCAGGTTATTTTGGGTAGCAGGCCTCTTGTGTGTGAGGTGGGCCTGCATTATTGAAGACTATGCCCGCCTGTAGGAGGGAAATAAGGTCAGAGGGCGTGTGCTGGAGGCTGGGGTGGGGATGGTGGGTGCCGGGCTGTGGTCAGATTCAGAGCAGTGCTGTCTTCTCCTGCTGAAGTGTCCCAGGCAGAACCCGGGGCCCCCGGGACAATCCAAGCTATTCCCCACCCATAACCTTGAGCCTGGGTTGCTCTCATCTGATTTAACTCTGCATCCTGGGCACTGCTCTTCAAACAGGCACCAGGGATGTGCAAAGGACCCAGAGCAGGAGCTGGGACCCCGGGGCTCCCATGCAGGCCTGCAGCTCCCTGGTGACCTTGAGGGAGTCACTGCATCTCTGCATCTCAGCTCATTTAGCTATTAAATGAAACTACTGATGGCCACCTGCCTGGTTGAGGGCTGTACAGTGGGCTCATCTTCCCCTCCTGTGGGCAGCTCTGGCTGCTGGGGTCCCAGCATTCCCACCGCCCAGTCCTGAGAGGCCCTTGGGGGCCGCAGCCAGGGCCTCGGACATTTCTAGCTTCGAAAACCAAGCTGTATTTTGTTGACCTTGTGTCCACACAAGAAACTCAAAAAGGGGCTCACTTAAGATCAAAACTCAGAGGAGGCGTGAGACCAGAGCTGCTCCTAACAGCGCCGTCCTCCTGCAGACCCTGCCTCTCCTCCCAGAGCCCCCAGCCCTGCCCCTTGGACTTCCCCGAGCCCCGCCTTTCTCTCAAGAGGACCTTCCTCGCCCCGCAGGCCCTCCCCACCTCCATCAGTGGCCCTCCTCCAGTCTCTGTGTCTTCCTCGGGGTTTTTCTGGCCTCCAGAGCTCAACCCTGAAGATAGACCTGCGCTGCAACCCGGGAGTCATCTGCATTTATCATGGATGTCTGAGTCTGAGAGAGGTTGATTCGCCCATTCGAGCGGCATTTGTACAGCCCAGCACGGGATGTTGGAATTTCAGGAGGATGTCCACTGGCCCCAGGAGTCACCCCTCCTATTTTCAGGAGCTTGTTCCACTGGCTTCTGTCCCCGCCAGGTCATGGCCCCCAGGCCTTCAAAGCCTGGATGTTCATCTCCCTCCGGGGTCCTGTGCTGCTGCTCCCACCGCATGCACGGCCAGCCACCGGGTCCCCTGGCAAGATGCCCTGTTCCCTGCCCGCCTGGCTTGTGGCTCCGCATCAATCTGTCACCAGCTGTAACCCCACCTTCCCCAGCCCCCACCCCATTGCTCAGCCCAGTTCATTATCCAGACCATTACTCCTTTTTACCCTCCACTGGTTTGCAGCGGGTTCCAATTAATAATTTCAAACAGTCACCAATTTCCCTTAAGCCTCTGGCAATAATGGAGATATAGGTCTAAGTGAATATTTGCTAATTTAGAAACATTTCCCCAGGAATCGCTGAGAAGCGCCGTCACTGGGCAGGCCTGGCCTCTCTCTCTGTCCCTGGAGGAGTTGGCCCCGTGCTTCTCAACCCAGGCAACTTTGCCCCTCTGGGGACACTAGGCGGTGTCTGGACACACTTTGGTGGTGATGCTATGTATGGAATTAGTGGGTAGAGGCCAGGGGTGCTGCTCAACATCCCACAATACACGGGACAGCTCCTCCCAGGACAGAGATGATCTGGCCCCAATGTCAGTACCGCCAAGGCTGAGACCCTAGATGTAGAGCATCCCCGGGCTTGTCTCCCAAACACCTTTCCCCACATAGCCTGGCAGCCTCCAGAGCAGGCCTCAGAGCTGGGTTGTTGTTTTTTTCTAGAGATCTAAACACTTAGAAGAGCAAAACACTCTCCCCAGATGTTCTAGAGCTATTTTCTTTGGCCCATATCATTTGTTTTAATGGATCCAATATTCAAAATTGAGAGATTTTATAAGAAAATCAGGGTTTATGGCTTGTTTTGGACAATGGAAGATCTGATCACACTGGCTCCCCAAATCCCCAATGGCAACGTTCAGTGAGAGCTGAAGAGCAGCTCCCCATAGTCCTATACATGGGGTACTTCTTGTCAAGTGCACCCCAGTCTCCACCACGCCCTATCGCCTCTCTGACATGGAGTATTGGCTGCCACTTATTACCAAGATCGCTCACAGAGAAACACATCTGTGCCATCCCTCAATCAAAAGTGGGAAAGAGAAGACAGACTGGGCTGCACCCAGAGCCTTCACTCATTTTCACTATCCACGATGCTCGTGGGCATTTGACGGCACAACTTCTGCTACAAATGGCTCCTGTTGGGTCAAGGGATTGAGCCCTGGACCCTCTCGAGTCCCTCCCAGGCCCAGCCCGCACACTCACAAGACTCCAGGAGGTAGGTGGACAGTAACTCTGTGCTCTTTTTCCAGGTCCAGGTTTCCTGCTGGGAGGTGGTGCTCCTGAGGACTGGGGTTCCCGGAGGATCCATGTCAAACACTGCTGCAAGAGAGGTAGAGAGCAGGCCTCAGTCACCCCATCTTCTAACACAGGGTCAGTACCTGGTGGCCCCGCTAACACTGGCTGCCTGCTCTGTGAATACAGTTTCCTTGTACCTTACCAGTAAGTACCTTTACCTATTGTCCGGGGCTGCTTTCCTGCTACACTGGCAGAGTTGAGAAGTTGTGACAAAAACAACATGGCCCACGAAGCCTAGAATATTTACTGCCTGGTTCCTCACAGCAGATGACCCTGTTCTAACCAGGCAGCGCCCCCATTTGTACACACCCTGCATTTACAAAGCACCTCCTTGATACTCCCAACAGTTCCAGCGGGTGGGCCTGGAAAGGAGGGTCGAAGGTACAAGCATTTGTTGGGCATCGGCTGGGTGCCAGGGGCTGAGCTCTGGTCTCACATGCATCTCCTCACAGCGGCCTTGTGAAATCATTGTTTTAACTTTACAGATGATGCAACAGAAGCTCAGAGAGGTTAAGGGACAGACCCAAAGTCACCCTCGTGTCTGTCTGGCTCTGTGCCAGGCGGCTCTGCCCTCTGGCTGGCTCTGACCCTTTGCTGCACTGCGGGGAGGCTGACCACCATGACACCCCCATGGACCCACCCTGGCTCCATCGCTAAGGGGCGGCCTGGCCTCCCCCATTCCTCACACTGCTGAGCCACCTGGGAGTAGGGAACTATTGCATTAAGGGCCAGGCCGCCGCAGTTCATTCTGGCCCCCCCTCCCCAAGTCACCAAAGACTGGCCTCCCCTGTGGACCACTGGGCTAACTGCCCTTGAACCTGACAGCTCCCCATCCTGAACTGGTGCTGCTGGGTGGGAATAGATGCCGTGAATGCCACGCCCAGCTCCCTCCTAACCCGCATCACTGGTTATGACAGGATGGAAGATCCAGAGACCTGGGGGGAAGGGTTTAGGAAGGACAAGGGAGGGGCTGAGCTGAGAGGAGCACAACCTAGTGGCTACGGTGGGGACTGGGACAAGGGCCAGAGAATCAGGGCAAACGAGAAGCAAGCGTGTGTTTCCCCGCGAGCTGCCCGCTGGCCCGTGAAGGGCAGGAGGCAGAGCTTCACGGAGCTGAGACGCAGCCTGACAGGCCGGGCGGCACGGAGCCCGGCACCCTGTGCGGTGATTTACGCCACATCAGCTCCCCGCCCCTGGGCTCCGTGTGCAACCGCGTGTGTCTCGGCGTCTGTGTTCTGTGTGCGCGAGCAGGGCTGGCCAGCCCCACGGGACCAGCGGATGGCGCCATGGGTGGGAAATGGTGCCAGGTGCCAGGAGGACGTGCTGACCCCCAAACAGCTGGGCCTGCCACACAGCCCGATGCGCTATTTCAGATGTGCGTCCTGCCTGGTACGGTAACCGGCATCTGGCAGATGCTCAGTAAATGTTAACTTGAATTCACTCTTTCAACGAGGTAAAATATTTTATATAGACACCTGTATATATACATATCCTGGATGTATATATCCTACTGCGTGTAAAGTCAAGTACAAATGGTATCTATTTTGTACACTATCATTATCAACATATTTAATAAAACTTGAGTGCCTCCTGCATTCATTGCTTTCTTCTGTTAAATCACAAAAATGGGCTGGTGGGAGAGGACGGTAAGCTGGGCTGAACTGTGCAATGGCCTGAACTGTGGCTGTGAGAGAGGAGCCTGGCCAGGTGAGGGGGGGGTTGTGGGTGGAGACTCCATGTGCCAAGCTGAGTGGTTTAGACCCGAGCTCACAGGCGTTCAGCAGGGCCTGTGGCTACTCAAGCACAAACGACAAAAGTGAGGAGTTGGGAAGGCCCATCTGGCATTGGCACCGGGGGATCTGCAGGAAGGGGAGCTAGCTGGGAGGCAGATGATGCTGGCGTTCCCGTAAATACCTGGCCATTCCTGGCACTGGCCAAGGGCTCCCGACGAAGCAGGTTGGGCACTTGATCTCATGGAATCCTCCCAGCCACCTGCAGGATAGGTTCTCCTGTCCTTGTTTCCTAGCTAAGGAAGCTGAGGCTCAGAGCCGTGGGGTGGCAGAGGTGCTTTGAAGCGACAGCAGGCCTGCAGGGCAGGGCTTAGTGATGAATTAAGTAGGAGACAAAGCAGGGAGTGGATGGCGTGGGCCGCCCAGCTCTGGGGCCAGGAAAGTAAGAGAATGGTGGGGCCAGTCCCAAGCTCTGGGCCTCAGGGGCCCCTCCTAGGGGACAGACAGGGCCACGTGCCTTCCTTAGCAGGAAGCTGCTGCCCCCCAGGGTCCATGGTGGCTTTGGCAGTTGAGTCAGGCCCTCCCAGGGGACACTGTTCGTCAGCTTGTGAGCCAGTGATTCCTTACTGACTGGGACGCAGGCCGTGGGCTGCTCTTCAGCCCAAGGTTCTCTGAATTTTTGTTTTTAAATTTTTTTAAGTCCTCACTTGAGGGTATGATTTTATTGATTTTACAGAGAGAGGAAGGAAGAGGGAGAGAGAGAGAGCGAAGCCTCAATCAGTTGCCTCCCATATGCACCTCAACTGGGGATCGAACCCTCAGCCTGGGTATGTGCCCTGTAGGAATTGAACCCACGGCCTTTTGGGTGTATGTGACAACATACCAACCAACTGAGCCACACCAGCCAGGGCGGTTCCCTTTGCCTTTGGAGGACTGCGTACACCCCCTTCCAACCCCCTTCCCCACAATGCCTTCCTTACTGCAGACTTTTTAGGCCGTGATAACCAAAGCCAGGTGTGTCAAGAAAAGCCTCCTTGCTTTAAAGACCAATTCTCTTCTCTGTCTGCCTCTGTCTCTGTCTGTCTCTGTCTCTCTCCCTCTCCCTGGACAGATGCCAGCCCTTTACTCGCTGGGCCTGGAGAGCCGGACATGATATAAAACAAAATACAATGTAACGGCTTCATTATCTGCGGGAGAAAGACGATTAAACTGGTCCACTCTGTGTCCTGACGGGCTGTCTCTGAACTGTGTGTCCAGTATCGCTTTCTGTCTGGATTAGGACGACGGGATCAACTGTCTGCGGGTTAATTAGCTTCTCAGAAAGTTTATTCATTTCTGCCTCTCCCCTTTGAAGGCACAGAACATTTCACACTGAGTCAAATGCTCAGTGTCTATTCTATGTGGCCAGAACATAACAGGACCAACCTGACAGCCCACTGAGCTGTGAGATGCCTTCCCCTCCTCCGCAGTCTTGACACCGACACTGGCGACACATCTGTCCACACCCAGCAGGCGTGGAAGGTTGCCCCTCAGTGGGCCTGGTCTACAGCTGTTGCCCATGGCTCCTGGGAGGGGCTGGAGGGAGCTGACAGTGACCCTGCCCTTCTCTTTCCTATTCTCACCCGCATCCATCAGCGTTTTCAGGGCTTGACAAGATAGTCACCACACCCAGGAAGCCACCCTGGATTAGCTACCCATCCATTCTGATAGAAAAGCCAGTGCAAACCCCCTGCCCCCGCCCAGTTCTCCCCCAGGCCCCCAGGTGGAGAGGACCAGCCATCCTGCTTTCTGAGACCAGAGGCACTTCTGCAGGTCTACAGTTTCTTTTCTTTTTCTTCGGCTTGTTTGCTTGACTGTTAAGGTTGTCCTTTTTCATTGTTTTTGAGTCATTTTGCAGGTGTGTTTTTCCTGCCACCACCACGTCACTGATTCCTTTGAGGCCAGAACCACATCTAATTACCTCCAGCTTCCAGCACCCGGGTGCACTCAGCACGCGGCCCACACAGTCCAGGCGGCAGATGCTCAGAGCGCTGGCCACCTCCAGACGCTCGCTCGCAGTGTCCCCTGGAGGCCGGGGGTGGGGCGGAGCAGGCTGCGGGCATGTGCGGGCTCTGCCCCTGCCCAGCTGTGCGCACTGCCCAACTCATCCCATCCCTCTGTTGCCTCCCTTTGCGCATCTGTAAAATGGAGATGACAATGCCGACCTCGTCGGGTCCTTGCCGGGATTCCATGGCTTACAACACACGAAGTATCTAGAAGAGGGCCTGACCCCCAGGTAAACACATGATACCTGCATGCAGAGGTCCTGAGTCCTGTGTGCACACAGCACCCGCTCCCTCCCCCTCAACCTCTCTTCTTTCTGGACACCCCACATCTGGCTTGGCCAATGAAGGGGTGAGGCTGGAGAGGACCCAGCGTGAGCAGAGCCCCAGTGGCTCGTATCCCCCCCTCCCT